GTCAGAACAATCCTTGTGAAGGGGTTAAGTACTGCTGAGATGTCAGTGTGGAAGCCTGAGGTTTGGAGAATCCATAATCTTATTTTGTTGGAATCTATGGAGATGTGGGATATTTTAGAGTTTAGAGTTCATGTGGGCACTTAAAGCTGMAAACACTTAAAAGCCCAAACAAATCAGTGTAGAGTGAGAGTCTTCAACGTCCAGATCTTGTACCAAATACCATATCATCACTCACCATGACATTCAGATTATTTTTCTTAGATTTTTGGACTTCCAATATTCAATACCTTTGTGGGAGGAGGAATGTAAAATCAATTTAAGGAAGATTCACAGTGTGGGAGTGTGATGGTGGGAGAGAGAGAGGGCAGCTGGAGGTTATTGGGTGCAAAATAAAATAATATAGGACTGATGTTTGGCATAACTCAGATTCCTAGAGTTGTGGAATCAATAGTTTAGGTGCTGTAGTGAAGATCTGTGGTCAAGCTGTCAATTTTCCAGAAGCTTTTTTTTAATTATTAGGCGATAGAAATGGTGGAAAGAGAAGGAAAAGGCCAAGAAAGTGTGGCACAGGAAAAAAATTGTGTGGAAAGTGAAACCAGAATTAATTCAGCTATTGTACAGATGGACYAAAGAGAAATTTCCTAACCCAGGAGGGAGCTCTGGGGTAGGAATGCAATATTTCAGGAGGCCTGTAATTTCAGGTGGGAATAGCAGAGGCCTCTCTTTCCAGGAGAACAGCTCCCCTTGGCTCTTGAGTCTGGTGGCACTTGCAGAGGAAGCTTTGGAGCACTCAAAAATGAAAATGCACTCACATTGTGWGGGTGCCTCAATTCTGCCTCATCCCTCTCGAATCCTGTCAGGAAAGTCCCCACTTAAACACGGGAAAATCCAGGGATGCTGAGGGAAGTGTGAGCTGACAAGGCAAACAACAAAATGAGAAAACCTCTTGACTTTTGAGATGGGCTGGAAGCAGGATCTGCCTTGAATCGCCTCTTGGAAGGGCAGTGACTCCGTGGTGTCCCTGATAAAACTTGGCCATGGCATTATCAGTGGGAGCTGAGCAGGGGCTGGGCTTGGGATCTCTCCCAACTCCTGGTGATTGAACTCCAGGAAAATGAAGTGACTGGTAATTTTTGGGATGAAATTGGAAACTGAATGCCACCAGTAGTGTGTGCGCAAACCAGATGGTTCTTGCTTTTTGTATCATTAATTATAAACTTTCCGGATTCCTGGCCTCAAACAGGTGGGAGTGGAGTGGGAATGGCACAGATGATGCTGCAGAGGTTCCTCTCACTGTGGTGGATGTGGCACAGGGCAAAAGRTCCTTCCTGAGGTTTGGATGTYGCATTTGGAGMAGAAGCTGGGAAAGATTAGATMAAAAAAACGTGAAATATCCTGAGYTGGAAGGGACCTATGAGGTTCACCAAAGCCCAAAATCCTGAAGCAGAGTTTCAAAGTTCTGAATTCTATCAAGCATCTCTTCACTTTGTGTGTTCGTGTCGCTCTCAGTTACCTTCCAGAGAGTTTAAGTTGCCCGGGTTGTGTGTGCCATGAGCGCTTTGCTCTTTCTGGGTTCCTGGTGGACACACACAAACACACAATCCTTTGGAATCTTAGAATCTATCTTAAAATAAATGGTTTGGGTTGGGAGGCACCTTAAAGAACTTTTCAACCTTTTTCAACTTAAAGGTATCCACTTCATCCATACTCAGCGCCCTGTTGGAGCAGAACAACACAATCACAGAGCACTGGCTGGCACTTTAATCGTAACAGTTGTGGCTTAGGTGTGTAAAAAACAAGAAAACACACCCCCCTGAAACATTTCCTTGGAAAGAACAGCTGGGTCTTTGTGAGGAGCTGAGAAAGCGTCCGACTGACACCGTTGCCTTACRGGACCTCACTCAGCCGAGGTTGCATAAAAGGGCTTTATGGGATTAGGAAGGCTCCATGCAGCGGGAGCTCAGAGGCAGCGTGTCAGGTGGGGCAGCTCTCCCTGGCTCTGTTTTGCTTTGTTATTGATGCCACGCTCTGGGCAGTGCCAGCTCACCCCCGTTCCCAGGGCCTCAGTGAGGGGGAGCGTGCCTGTGGGTTCATGTGTGGGRCTTCTGCTCCTCACCTGGGTTTCATTGCTTGCTGGCCAGGGAAAAGCCCTTTCCCCCTAAATTTACCCCTCACCTTGTCCTAGGGATGCTCCTGAGCAATAATCCAAGTGGTGATGGGTGGATCTCTGTTCATGGCATGCCTTCCAGTTGTGGAAGGGTTGTGGCACTGAAGCACCATGAATCCTATTTCCTGCCTCCTCCCTGTCCCTGGATCTCTATTCTATGCGTGTTTAGGTGACTTTTATTGGGGATACACACAGCTGAGCTGTGCTATCAGCAAGTYCTGGAAGGCTGATCTGTGGGAAATCTTACTTTGAATTATCCCAAAGCCAAGCACCTGAGGGRGAAAGTGGGAAGAGGGTGAAAATCACCCATTTCTCTGCAGAAATCCTGGCTGCAGGATCAATTCCCATATCTCTCCTCACTCCAAGAGCCATCTGCTTCATGATCCTTGGAGCTTTTTTCCAGACAGTTTTGCTGAACAATCCCTGCTCAGTTGGAAAGAAAARAATGGGGAGAGGGAGCTTGGAAAATACTTCGATGCTTCCCTGTCCTTTGCCAGCTGAGGGTCTCTTGTGCCAACCATGAAAGTTTGCAGAAATGAACTTTCAGAGTATCGTGGAGGCCAGGAATGAATGTTCTGGAGGTTTTGTTACAAATCTTCACTCTGGTGAAGCTCAGACTGAGGCACTGCTGTCATGAATGAGGAGCTTTGGCTAACGMCACACCAGGGCTGGGTGATGTCCCCTCTCCTAGGGGAGCAGTAGGGACAGACCAAAAATGAAAAAGTTAAAATATGCTTCAAATAGACTTGCTGTTTGGCCTTTTAGAATTTTTTTTCAATTATTTTGGGGAAACAAATTTTGTGGGAAAATATTTTTCCATGTTTCCCACAAATCACTCTTAACTGCATTTTTATCATTGCAGGTTTTTTTTTTTTTTCCCCTGGAGATATCAATATCTGTGTATGTAACTGAAGGAGAACATTYTCCTGCCCATCTTTGTTCTCCTAAAAATCCCCTCCCAACCTTTTTTGCTCCCTCCCTTAGAGAGCTGATATTAAATCACCTTATCAATGCCTCAGCAATGATTGGATCTGTACTGGATGTCCCTGGCTGTGACTGGGGTTGGGATTTTCAGCCCATTGTGCGCCAAGTTTTGGGAGTTAAAGCCTCTTGAGTTTGGGATTTAAAGAATCATGAGTTTGGAAGTTAAAGCATCCTGAGTTTGGGAGTTAAAGCATCCTGAGTTTGAGATTTATAGCATCCTGAGTGCCTGCCCTCAGGAGTTGGGCACCTGGCAGGATGCATCCCGTTGATCCCAGAGAAATGCTCATTGAAAATAAGAACTCCCAGGTGGGTCTTTAAGAGATTCCCAGGATCTCATCCAAGGGGGTGAGGGGTGCCCCCGTCCCGTCCCCATTGCCCCATGTCCCCAATGCTCCTGCAGCGATGGAGATGCCCGAGCCCCCAGCCCATCCCCGCTCTCCCAGGGCAGGATTGCAGTGTTCCAGCATGGTTCCCGCTCTGGATTTCAGCCATCCTTCCCTGCTGCCCGGGGAATGTGTCTCCAGGTCCTCGGCAAGCCGGGATAGTCATTCCCATTGACTGTGCGGACTGGCACCTGGCCGGAGCGGGGCAGAGCCAGGACAGTGGGGTCCAGCAGCCTGGCCAGCAGAGCTCTCCTGAGCCCAGCAGATGTTCCTGCAGCCTCTCTGCTCCCCGGGGCCGCTGCCAGCCTGGGCCCTTTCCAGCAGCTCGTCACTTGACACCRGGAACAGTCCGCTGGCATCTTTTGTTGCACATTGTGGAGTCAAGGACCTTGTGCTGGGAGAAGGCAGGGGAGGGAGGGGAGAAGGCAAAGGGACACGGATTTCTTCTGGGTGGGTTTTTTTTTTTTTTAGGTTTTGAGCTTGTTCTGTCTTGTAAAAGTTTTTGGCAGCGTCTCCTGGAAAGCGTATCCTGCTCTCCAGCCTCAGGCTCTGGCTCGCTGGGTTTTATGGCAGGATCTCTTCTGCTGAGGGCAGGGTGGCTTTCTGTGCTTTCTCAGGGTGTCTCTTGGGCTTTGATGGGACCAGTCATCCTCTATCCATTCCCAAGCTGGTTTCTCTGCTTGATATGCTAAATTGATTTTTTCTTAATGCCCAGTAGCGCTCATGTATTTTTGCTAGTTTCCTAAGTTCATGCAGTAAGGCACCTGAAATTATTTCTTTCCACTTCCAGTTTTCAKCACAGTCCTGTGCTGGAGGTGACCAAGGGTTTATGTCCAAACAAGCTCAGTGAGAGCTGCTGGGGAGAATAAATCCAAACATTTCCTGTTCTTCTCCTGCTCCCACCTTGCACGCACACCGTGATGAGCCTCACTGTAAAATCACTGCTGGCCCAGACGTGAAATCCACAGGGGTGCTCAGACAGGAGATACAGACCCCATCACTGACCCTGTTTCTGTCATGGGCTGTGTTTTGTAGAATCCCAGAATGGTTTGGGTTGGAAGGACCTTAAAGACCAAAGGGTTTGGGTTGGAAGGACCTTAAAGACCAAATGGTTTGGATTGGAAGGACCTTAAAGACCGAATGGTTTGGATTGGAAGGACCTTAAAGACCAAAGAGTTTGGGTTGGAAGGACCTTAAAGACCAAATGGTTTGGGTTGGAAGGACCTTAAAGACCAAATGGTTTGGGTTGGAAGGACCATCTAGATCCAAGCCCCTGCCCTGGGTGGGGATGGCTCTCACCAGTTCAGTTTGCTCAGTGTCCAACCTGGCCCTTGACACTTCCAGGGATGGTGCAGCTTCTCTGGGCAGCCAGGACCTCTCCCCTCTCCCAGAGATGAATTTCCCCTAGAATTTGCTGGTATTCCTTCCCTCACCGCCGCACTCCTCTGTTTCTCGGCAGGCTGACGGGGAACGAGCCCCTGACCATCCTCCCTCTGACGTCGGAAATGGAGGAGGCGGCCGTCAAGGCACACTACAAGGTGTGTGACCGCCTGAAGCTGGAGAAGAAGCAGCGCCGCATGTGCCGGCGGGACCCCGGCGTGGCCGAGACGCTGATGGAGGCCATCAGCATGAGCGCCCTGGAGTGCCAGTACCAGTTCCGCTTCGAGCGCTGGAACTGCACCCTGGAGGGCCGCTACCGCGCCAGTCTCCTCAAGAGAGGTGAGTCCGGGGTCTCGGGGTTCTCTGCATCTCCTGTGCCCATCTCCTTCCCTGCTGGTCAGTTTGGGTGGCCTTTGCCAGCTGTGCTGCATTCCAAGGACTGCGAAGAGCTTTTGCTTGGCCCTGGAAGAGCGCAGCGGGCAGGGAATGTGCTAATGGGGATAATTTATGGGCTTGCCCTGCCTGCTTCCCTCTGCTGGCTCTGGCTGCTCTCCTCCTGGGCTTTGTGCAGGTCGCTGCAGCCAGGAGCTGCATTTTCTCCCCATTTCTGCTGGAAATGGAGCAGTTGCTGGAAGAGTTTGTTTTGAAGCTTTCAGAGTTGTTCCCTCTGTTTTATTGCTTTATTTATTTCCTATTTGTTTTTCCTATTTAATTACTCCAGTCTTTCAGAAAAGAAGCTGAGAAAATTCATTTTTAAGGGGAATAAGGAAAACCAGACTGTTCTGTCCTGTCCTGTTAGAGAAGGCAAGGGGAGCCCTGTCAAAGTACAGGCAAAACCTGCAAATGTTTGTGTCCTGTTACTGCCCTGGATGCRAGCAGTGGGTGATTCCCACAMCTCTTCCCAGCAGCTCTGGTGGAGATGGCCAGAAATTAGGAATATTGGAGGAGCAGGTGGTATTTTTATTTCTTTTCTTCCCCTTTCTTTGTACTCCCATACATAGCCCAGCTTCTTCCATTCTCCCAGGACAATTCAGTTCTTATTTCCAGCACTATTTTACAGACAGCATATGAGGGTCCCAAGGGCTCTGGTGACTTCCAGAAARTCCCACGCTCAGCACTGGACCTGGACAAGCCAGGGGTGTGATGTCTTTAAAGATAAGAGCAGAGGCTTGCAGGGCTAATTAGTGAGGAGGAGTAATTCAGGAGCACCAGGGCTTAACTAATGCACTGTCACTGACTGGTGGAAACAAGGAAAGTCCTCATGAAACCCAAGAGGTCCAGCTGGAGCTGCAAGACGTTTAAAAATATCCCCGCATGCCAGAGGAGTCCCTGGATTAGTGGTGCCTTGGGGAAGCCAAGCACTTTCTCATGCTGACACCTGGAGGCCACAGCTCGTTCCTTCAGACGTGCCTGTCCCCTGGGCAGCCCCGGCCGAGGGGCTCTCCTCTCCGGAGCTGAGCTGCCTTCAAACCCCGCCGAGACCCTCCATCGCAGCCCTTGTCAGGGGGCCGTGTGATGAATGAGAGCTCCGAGGGCTGCAGGGCTCTGCTGCTGTCTCATTCTGCCGTGTTTTATATCCCTGCACCATCCCTGCCCTCCTCTGGYGCCGTAAATCCTTCACGTGGTGTTCCCGGGCGGTGACACGGGGCCCTGTAAATCTTCCTCCTCCTCTCCAGGAGCTGCTGGTTCCTGGTTCAGCATTGATACCCCAGGGCAAAGGCTCCCATGTATCACCCACCAGGACACAGCTTAGAGTTCATCATCGAGGGCTTGTTTCCTCTCTTCCAGAGCCATCGCAGGGAGAAAGGAAAAAGGGGGGAAAGAAAAACCCCAAACCACTTTTTTTCACTTAAAAGTTTCTCCYTCAAGTTTTGCACTTGGTCACTAGACCAGCCCTTGGGCTGATGCGGCCCGTTTCTTAAAATAACAGGGGATTGTTTAAGGGACTCGTTATCCTCTTTGGATCCTGAGGAACAATTTTGGAAATGGCTGAAACTGGATAGCCAGGGCCGGCAGACTGTCAGTGTGCTGGGGCTTAGAATGCCTGCATTGATTTAAAGCTCATTATCTTGTTACAAAATATCTCGGTGCAATCAAATAGTGCGTGGTGGAGATGGCTTTAAAATCTGGCCAGAGCCAAATGTCACATGGAGCTGGTTGGGAGCTGCCTGTGKGTGAGATGATCCCCGTGCTGATGGGCTCGGGGAATTTGGGAAGYTTTGGGTGATGGAGAGAGGGAGGAGGAGCGGCGAAGGGGATGGAAGGGGAGAAGCTGGCAGATGAGCTGCTCCTCCTGGCTTTCCATCAGGCCTGGAATGCGTTGTGACTCTCTGCTGGAATCCCACAGCCACTCTGRATTCAGTGGTTTAAATCAGGAGGGCTTCAAGCAGGGTGGAGGTCTGGGCTGCCTAATTAACCAGTTAAGGCTGCTGGCTGTGAATTAAGTGTTGCAAGGCCAGGCTGGACAGGGCTCGGARTGCCCTGGGATGGTGGGAGGTGTCCCTTCCCATGGAACAAGTTGGATCTCAGGGTCCCTTCCAACCCAAACCCCATTCCATGGCTGTGGTGTCTCAGATGTCCAGAGCAGRGTTTACACACCAACCCATTGAGGACTCTCTGTTTGCCACTGGCACCTCGTCATTCTGTGCAGCCAGAATTCTCTAACTCAGGAGCACAGAGCCTTGGGAGCATCTGTCTTTGGTAGTGGCCTCCCCCTGACAGGCTTGTGGGCAATCTGACCGAGGGTGTGACCTAGAAAAGGTAGTTTACAAAGGAAGAGGGATGCTCAGAAGGCATTTTCTACCCAGAGGAGTTTGGTGGCCTTCACATCCATGAGATTTTGCTGTGTAAATTAAACAATTCTGTCACCATTTTCAATAAAATGTTTGTGATGCTGAAGGTGTTCCTGGGGTGTCAGAGTACATGGTCTGACTTCAGGGAGAAAACAAAATTTGTTATTTTAATCYTCACCACTCTTTGCAGTGTCTGTAGTGAGTGTGGAATTAAATCTTTTTTTATTTTAACGTTGCTTCCAATGAGGACAAGATTCCTGTTCTCCTTTTCCAGGTGAGCAATAGAATGATTGGATAATTCCTACCACAATCTGGGAGGAATTAGAACCTCAGAACCCTTGGGAGGCCAAAGCCTCAGTCCCCTGGGCTGGATTTTCATCGGTCTTCCTGCTCCTGGGAGTGTTTTGGGAAGGCAGACTCTGGGAATGGCCCCGTGAGTTTGCTTGGTCTGTCATGAACCTCCCAAGGAACAGTTCCAAAAATGACCTGGCAGTGTCTCTGCATGTCCTTGGTTGACACACCAGCTCGCAGATATATCCACTACTGTCACCATCCACTTGTGTTATTTTTGAGTGGGGGATTTCTTGAGTCCCGTCCAAAGCGTTCTGGAATTGCATCTCAAAAATGCAGTCGTTTACGGCTTCCATAGCTGGAGAATGGGCAGCTATAAATACGGGCATGTTTGCTTTTTATTTCTGGCTTTTATAATTTGGGTTGAAGCCGTGGGTCCCTCTGGGTGTTGGCTGGCCTGGTGGGGAGTGGATGCTGTCACATCCCTGCAGGTGAGCGTGGAGGTGTAAGGATGGGCTGTGAGGGAAGGGTTGAGGTGTAAACTGGGTGTTTTGGTGAGGTGACACTTCTGCTCCCCAGTCCTTGGGTGCCTTCTGCCMACAGCTCTGCTGGTCTGGAGTAGTACCCAGGGAGTTGTTTTCACGAGGAGAGGGAAGGATGAGAAGGACTGGAAGTTTGTGCTGGGTTCCTGCTGYTTGGTGTCCCTTTGCAGCAGCACAGGGACCTCCATGTCCTGTCCAGCTCTTCATGGAGGCCAACAGTGCTTTGGCTTTGARAGGACCTTAATGAACATCCAGTGCCACCCCTGCCACRGGCAGGGACACCTCCCACTGTCCCAGGGTGCTCCAAGCCCTGTCCAGCCCAGCCTTGGACACTGCCAGGGATCCAGGGGCAACTYTTGCTGACCCCTCTCCATGTTCAGGCAGAGACTGTGAGTGACMCAGAGTGACAGCCACAGAGCTGGACAGACTGGTGTTCCTGCATCCAGGCTTGTGTCCCCTCTAACCATCATTCCTTGCCCTCCCCTGTGTCCCCTTTCCCATCAGTGATGCACGGAGAGCTTGCCCATGTTTTTGAGGGTGTCAGGAATGTGGACGAGGATTTTTCCAGGGGTGCCCAGCCATGGCTCAGGAGAGACGGGCAGGGATTGACACCCAGGAAATTCCACCTGGACATGAGGCAGAACTTCTTTCCTGTGCAGTGACTGAGCACTGGGTTGCCCAGAGAGGCTGTGGAGTCTCCATGGCTGGGGATATTCCAGAACCRTTTGGAACAATCCTGCTGGAGCAGAGAGGTGGGACCAGATGCTGCGCTGTGCTCCCTTCCAACTCTGCCATTCTATTATTCTGTAACACAGCTCACTCTCGTCTCACAATGGGTTTTGCCTCAATTTTCTGGGTTCTTTTTTCTTTCTTTAACCTTCAATTAGAGCCTCTTCCTCCTCTCCCTGCAGGTTTTAAGGAGACAGCGTTCCTGTACGCCATCTCGTCGGCAGGGCTGACCCACGCCATGGCCAAGGCGTGCAGCGCGGGGCGCATGGAGCGCTGCACCTGCGACGAGGCGCCCGACCTGGAGAACAGGGAGGCCTGGCAGTGGGGAGGCTGCGGGGACAACCTCAAATACAGCAACAAGTTCGTCAAGGAGTTCCTGGGGAGGAAGCCCAACAAGGACCTGCGAGCCAGGGTGGACTTCCACAACAACCTGGTGGGCATGAAGGTGCGTTGGAGGCGGGGAGAGGGGGGTCATGCCGTTGTGGGGTTTTGGGGGTAATAACCCTGTTCTTGGGTGTGGAATGGGCGTGCTGGATGTGGAATGGATGGAGTGATGCTCCTTCTGCAGGGGAGGAGTCTGAGTTATGGGATTGTGCCCTGGTTTTCACCGTGATTCAAGWGTTGGGCAAAACTGGTGGAGAGAGACAAGAGGGAAAGAAAGGGGACTGTGCAGGTCTAGGAAATRTGAGGTGGGGACAGAGATTGCTGGGTACCTACAGGGAGAAGGGAATTTTACATTGCAAAGGGATGGAAAGATGGTTCCTCAGGCTTACATGAGGCAGGACACAGAGGAAGGGATTTATGCTGCCACAACACCTGCTTGAGGGATGCTTCTCTTGCAGCAGTTCAGTAGAGCATGCCCAGTGTAGCATCTTCTTGGCCAGGTTTCCTTAAAACTGGCTGGAGAAACACCTGGCAGGGAACCAGGGTGGAGAGATTAATTTCTGCCTGGCCTCAGACCTAAAAGTCCCTTCAGTTTTGTCTTCTGGCAGAAGCCTTCTGTGTCACTAGTGCTTTGTTGTAAAGTCCCTTTTTCCTTTTCCCCTCTTTGTCCTCTCTTCCTGTTCTTYCCACCTTCCATGAGGCTTTACCRTCCTGCCTGAGGGCTCCCCTGMAGGACTGCCGGAGTTCAGGAAGCATTTGGACAATGCTCTGGGGCAYGAGSTGTGATTTTTGGGTTTGGACCCGATGATCCCTGCGGGTYCCTTCCAGCTCAGCATTTTCCATGACTGGTGTAAAGGACAAACTGTCTGCGAGTGCTGGGTCATCCCAGCGAGGGGGGAAAGGAAGGGGCTTTCCACCTTCTCCCATAATCTGCTTGGCTGTACCTAGCCCAGAGTTGCTCCTACACRAAAATCCCTCAGATTGGCCAGCACAGGTGCTCAGGATCAGTGTTTCATTGCACCAACCTCCGAGGGGGACATACTGTAGGGCCAGAAATAGCCCTCGAGCCTTGTTATTGTCTGTGTGATTGGATGCAGGCTTGGGGCTGCCATGGGGGACCTGGGTCTCCAGTTTCCCGGGCGAGTGCAGCCCAGCCAGTTGTGCATTCTAGGAATGGCCACCCCAGCTCAGTTGTTGCTGTGTCTATGTATAAAATGTCATTCCTCRCGACGGAATTGGGGCATCGGGGAATGCCACCGGCCAGCAAAATGTCTCCCCCTCTCCCCAATACCAGATGCTCCTAGACAGCGCTGAGATCAGGATTAGAAATATCCTGGATTTAGCTGGTGTCTGGTTTTGGCTGACAGCTTTCCTGCTCTGGATTAAAGGGCTCAGTGTCTCTGRACTCCTGTGGCAGCTCTTTGACGTGTGAAAGAGGCTTTGCAGGAGGATGGAACTTGTTGCAATCCTTGTGTTGGTCGCTCTGTGCCATCTTTTGGGGGTGYCTGTGTAGCAGATGGGACTGATGATGGGAATGGTGGTCCATGGAGGCTGTGATTTCATGCTGGGTGTTTCTGTGAGATGTCCTGGCTCTCCTCTCATTCTAAAGTTACACACTRCAGTATCATCAAAACCTCCAAGGCTGTGGCTTTAGGTGCTGCTGGCAAGTCCTTGTAGCTCCAGAAATACCCACCAGCAGTGGTGGGGCTAAAAAACCACCCCAATGGGGACACTCCCAGTGTCCTAATCCCAGGAGCTGCAGTCAGGATGCCCACATGGCTGAGGCCACTCTTGAATTTAGGATTTGTGTCCYTAATTATCATCTGTGCTCTACACTGTGGGACTTTGAGCTAAACGAACTCCCAGGATGGGCTGGAGGGATCAAAACTTCCTTTCTGTGTCCTAACCCTCATTAGTGAGCTCCCAGGGGAAGATGCAGGGCTCTCCAGCATCCTCTGCCTCCACTGTCCTTGGCACAGCCGGGCTCTGGCCACGGGCAGAGGTTCCACGGTGTAATATCTGCAGCTAAACAGCTGAGTAACAGTTGTGACGGTCGTCCAGACGCTGAGAGCCCTCCTGGCAATCCAAGTCACAGACCTTTGCTGCAGGTCAGTGATCCAGTGTTCCTATTTTCGTCCACCCACAACGTGTCTGTCGGGTCGGGGTTGCTGTCTGACAGCTTTCCTTCGCCTCCTTGCAGCAGCAGTTGAAGGATTTCTCAGTTTGTGCTGCTGGAATAATTSGTTGTGCCACGGTGTGGTCGCAAGCCAAGCCAGGTTCACAGCACCACCATGGACCAGGCAGGGAACGAGGGAATGTTGGGGAGGAAGCTTTCAGGAGGGGGATGGTTGAAGATCAGGAGAACCCACGCCTGTATGGCCGGGATACGTGTCCCTAAACTGCTGCCACAATTYGGTGTCACTAAGGTGATGATCAGAGAGGAGGACCCAGGCTGGCTCTGTGACTGCAAGGACAGAACTCGAGGTGTTTGCTTCAGATTCCAAAATGCTGAAACCAGTTTGTGGTTGATGGTTGTCTTTGGCATTGCTTACTCTTAGGTGTGGATTAATTCCASGTTTGATCTGTGTCCTTCCTCCTGGTCCTGCTGTGAGTGCAGGAACGCAGGGATGGAGGATGAGAGCTGCACAGCAGGCATCACTGTGTTCCTGCTGAATTTATGGATGTCATCCCTGAGGAAGGTTGTGAGTTAAATATGATTTTCAGTTTGTTCTGTCTTCAAAGAAGCTGCTCACCACTGAGTAGGGTTTGCTCACCCAGTGGCTGCAGCAGCGCGAAAGCGCTTTGGAGTAACCCAGTGCGGTTATTGGAACAATAACTCATCTGGATTTGATTTGGGGTGGATCAAAGGCAGCTTAGGAGCGCAGACAGCCTTGATTTGTGCCGTTTTGGACCCGAATGGTTTGGAGCTCGAGTATTYGCAGCGTGTGGCTGTGTGTGTTCGCTGAGGGAGTGGAGAAGTCTCTGCTAAAGATGCAGCACAAGCTTGGTGGTCTCTCACTGGTTCCTAACGTGTCATTTTTCCCATCTAATTACTCCCTACYATGGCAAAACATACAAATAGTCTCTTGAGACCTGGCAAAAAAAAAGGACCTGTGCTGGGACTGAGTAATTTGGCAAGCAACCCTTTCCCCTCCTGGTCACCACAGMAGTTTCTCCATGGTGTCACACCAGCAAACAATCCGTGTGTTTCTGYGAGGGTGACATTATCCTATCCCGCCTAGTTTTAGTGTCTCTTGGTAGACGTTCTCATTTAATTATGATTTTACTTCTGCCTTTTACAACCTTGATGGGCCGCCTGTAATTTTGCTGCCACCAGTGAAATAATCACTGAACATGTTGTGCCCATGGTGGCTCACCAAGTTATATGATATGAGCTCAGTGGTTAATGAAAGGGCGAGCTTGTCTAGTGTGAGGATGAGGTAATTAGACCAGGACTTCTCCAGCCTTCTCTTTATTGAAAAGCAGGAGCTCTGAATAGACCACTTATTAAAAAAGCAATTTCCCTTCCTTTGCCAAATCTGCTCTCCCCCATTCAGCCATTCTTTCCAAGGGGTCTTGGGTGGAGAGGGTGTTTTGGGGGGAGATGTATGTGTGGAGGGGATGGGGGAGAAGTCAACTGTGTTAAAGCTCCATTGCCAGCAATGAAGTTCCTGAGTTATATTAAATGAAGCCCAGGCAGCCTCGCTAAAGCTCTCATCTTCTCTCCGTGCTCCCCCCGTTTCCCCCTTGTACACACAAGTGCAGCCCTCTTTTGTAACCCATTAATGAAAAGGAGGAATATTAGAGCACTCAATTAGTTCCACTGGGCTTGAGTAAGTGATGTTTTAATTAAATTTGCCCWGTTTCTCAGCAAAGTATCATTAAACATGACTTTCCAACTCCCTCTCTGGAGCGTTGCTAAGTTTCTTAATCCCAGGAGTGCTGACCTCTTCCAGAGGTATGTCTGGTCAAGCATGTCTTACAGATCCAAGGGGCACAATTAAAGRGGGCTGCTGCTACCCTAGGAAAAGAAAAAAAATTATCATGTTCTTATTCCCTTTTTCCCTCATCCTTCCAGAAGGAGGAACACGAGCCTTTGCCTGAAGTCTGGGTATAACCACAGTTGTCTCGAGAGCCGAGAGTGTTTAATACAAAATTATGGGAGGGTAGAAATGGAGAACAAGAGAAGACCTCTCTTTAAGCATTTTCCTGCTTTGAAACTGGGTCCCTCCATGAAACTTCATTGCTTTTTGCACAGGGTCTTTGGTCTGTGCAGACCAAGGACGATTCTGAAGGATCACAGAATTTGGAATGGGTTGGGTTGGAAGGGACCTGAAAGGTCATCTCGTCCCAACCCCCAGCCATGGTCCTTTGTCACCCTTCAAGTCCAGCCCCATCCTAAGACAGCTCCACCTGGAACCATCTGGGATGCTCTGSAGAGGGTGGTGGGAGGTGCCTGGACTCTCCCTTGCTGTTGACTTGCTTATTTTGGAATTCCATGCGAGGAATGGCTCTTCCCCCCGGGTGGTGCTGGCAGRGATCTCTTGAGAGGGCTGGAGATGCGCTCTCCATATCGGGGAGATGTTTGCCCAGCTATCATCTGTCTGAGGAACTCGGTGAGCTATCACATAACGCGATCTCGGAGCATGCCACCCTCCTCATTTCTGGAGCTCCGCCTGGCAGAGGGGCGAAATTGAGACCCAGAAAGATTAAGTGACTCACTAAAGGTCACACACAGGCGGAGGGAGGCATGACTCTCCTGTTGCAGAGACAGTGTTTACAAGCGCTGACCATCCAGTCTCACGCAGTTCCTACTCGTTAACATGATTCCAGTCCAACTCCGGGTTTTGCTGCACCCTCACCATGTGCAATAATCGCTCTTTTGGAGCTTAATACAGTTGGTGCATGAAAAAAAAAACCCAAAAAAAAAAAACCCCAGACATAAAGCATTCTTTTGGCAGTTTCTTAGGGATGTGTTTGCAGCGAGAAATGGGGCATCACATGTTACCAAGGTACAAACCAAACCCAGCAAATAACAGCCTGAGAAGAGCTCTTAATGTACAGATCAGTTTTCAGGGCACCACTGGTATTAATTGCTGCAGGTTATGACAGGTAGGAATGCCCAGGCATGCTCTCTGCATTTTCCTCTCCTTTCAGGCTGAGATTGGCTCAGCCAAAGCCTTTCTAAGGGCTGGAAATCAATACTCTGGAAAAAAAAAAATTGCTCGCTCAGTCCCATAAGTGATTGCAGTTGGTTGTTTATGCGGAGCTTTTTTAGCATGGGAAGCACGCTAGGAATACTGAGCATGGGGAAAATACTTCTAAAGTTCTCGGCTTTAAGTAGGGTTATGTTATTCTATGCTTAAATGTTTGTATTTTAATACCTATGTCACTAAAATATGAGTGTTCCTATTTTTTAAAGAAGGAAGGGTGGTGGAGGGGAAAACTGAAAAAAAAACAGCTTGAGAACACGCTGGAAAGAAGAAGTTTTTAAACAGAATAGAAGGAAAAAAGAAAGAAAAACTTCTAACAATCTGTRAAACTTTTATAATTCATCCAATGGCATCGGCCCAGTGTGAAGGGACGAGTCTGGTCTTCTGCTCATGTGTGGGGACCGTGGCTGCTGTCCAAACAAACATTAATACTTGAGCTGAGAGAATGACTAAGCCTATTTAAATTGAAGAGGGATCTGCATCCGGGGATGGAAGGGATTGGATTTGTGGGGAGGCATCCCAAAGCCCTTTCTGAAGCCGGGCGAGGCGAGGGCTGGCTTTTCCCTGGATGAGCTGCCTCGGAGGAGGGTTTGCTGCCTCCTCTGCCCCAAACCATAGCGAATGGTTTGAAGCCTCGGAGCCGCAGCCCAGCCATGACGACAGCGGAGCAATAACCGCGGAATTCCCACGGCTGGGTGTCCGCCCTGGCCTGCTGCTGCCCAGACAAGAGTTGTCTGAAAACCACCGCCAGAGCCCCGTGACCCAGCTGGGAATGAATGGGAATCCTGTCCTCGGCGTTTCAGCTAAAACACTGAGAAATTGTGTGTTGCAGCATGTCTGAGACTGATCATGACGGGGGCACTCAGTCTGAGCTTCGCAGCGCGCCATTGTTGGGAGCAAGGATTACATGTTGCATAGCAATGCTCTGCTGTGATCCCTTTCCCCCGTGGCTCCCTGTAAAGCCATTTGGGAAGGCAGTCCAGCAGTGCTATCTGATTTCCTCTGAGTGGCAAACGCCAGGAAAAAGTGGTTCTGCCTCACTTTAGGTTTTCCTCATTCCATATTTGTCAGTGTTAGGTATTCTCACAGCAAGGTCAGTGGGGATTTGTGTTCCTGTCAGGCTTTATTTTCCTCCCAAGCTGTTCTGTTTGAGGCTCCCAAKCCAGGTGGGTGTTCAGAGGAGATGAGAGGACAGAATTTCCATGTGTGATGCCATCCCTGCCCCACCACTTGTCTTTGCTTGKGCTTTCCTTTTTTTTTGTGGTAGGAGCTCTCTACACCACACAGCACAGCAAGGATGCTCCTCGTTGCTGTTACTCCTGAGTTACTACAGCTCTGCTGCTGTGTGGTGGCTGTTGAGTTGGGGCCTTGGGGAGTGTGAAATATTTTGTGCCTTGGATTTAAGCTGGGCCATTCTGCTTCATGTCTGTGACAGGCGTGCAGGTGGCCACGTCYTTGGTGTGGATGAAATGATTATTTGGGACTGTGTTCAGAGTAGGCTCAGGTCTGTGTAGGATGGACGTAAATCAGGTTAAATCAGGCTTTAAGCTGTGATGAGCCTTGAAACGAAAGCAGGAGCTTCTATAGCTCTTGAAATTATGATTTTACATGTTAAAGTCTTATTCTTCCTCATCCACCCTGGAGTTTTTTGGGACTAAAACCCACGTTATTCTATCCTGGAAGCCCCTCCAGGTTTGAAAGCGGGATCCAGACGTTTGTCCCAGGATCCAGCCAACAAAGCTTTCTCCAACATTGCTCCAAGCAACCTGCTGACTTGGATCAGTCTTGCTCTGCTTCCTGAAGAAATGAGGTGGATTTAAGTGTCTCTGACAGGAGCTCGCAACAAGAGGAGGAAAGGTTGCTGTGGAAGCCGGGGAGCGGGACGAGAACCAGAAGGGCTTTGCCAAGGTTCATTTTGGCTCGTGGGTGGTTGGGGCCCGGAGGCAGCAGTTCCCCATCACGCAGCGCCTCGAGGAGCTGCAGCGTGACTGACAGCAGCAGGGGAGGCTGCCTGGGCAAGGCGCTTTTCTGGGATTTTCACTCTCGCTGCCTCATAGCATTCTCAAGCCCTTCCCGGTCCTTCCAGGAGGTTTACGGGGCGGTTGGGATGCACGGTGCTTGCACGGCAGCCGTGTGAAAATCCACAGGTGGGGTTTCATGAACTGGTGCATTCATGGGAACAGGGACAATGGAAACCTTTTATGGTTTGGTCCACCAGCATGTGACACCAGAGCTGTCCCAGCCACTGCTTAAGGAGGAGRTAAAAACCTGTCAGGGAAGTCCAGGCTGGGATTCATGAGGGGCTTTGAGTCCAGATGAGGATAATTGAGTGAACTACCTAAATATACTTATTAGTACCCCTTGAGAGATTTTTTGTGCTTCAGAAGAGACAGCTGATGAGAGCAGAATGTTTTAAAGCACTTCAGGTAGTGCCAGATGATCATGTATGGACATCTGGGTTTGGCCCAGAGGGTGGGATCCTGCTCACAGTGTCCCCTGAACTGAGGTGCCTCTGTGTGAGCTGGGTCCCCAGGCTCCTGTCAGTGACAGAGGAGTGCTCAGTGCAGTCAGTAGGAGCCTGGAGAGCTGWTCAGTGGAGCAGGTGTTTGTGCCTCACTGCAGGTTCCTCTCCTGCTTTGGCTCCCCTGACTCAGACGGGAGTTCTGAGGTGTTTCTCGAATGGAGGTGTTCAAACCTCGGTGTTTGCCTYGGTGAGGTCAGCCCTGGCTGTCTGGTGTGATTCAAGTGCCTAAACCTACATGTTTATTCCTGACTGAGAGGCTTCTGCCATCAGCCAGCTGCCCATCCATYGGGATCGGGTTTTCCAGCACATGTTGGGCTGTATCCACCAGCCCCATGTTGGCTGTGGCGCTCCCGCAATGTCAGCGCTCCCGCAGAGCTCAGGAGAGGTGGCTCCCGACAGGAGCAGCCCCGTCCCCAGCTTCCCTTCCCGAGTTTCATCACCCTGCCTTGTTCAATCAGCTCCAAATCCAGGAGCAGGACCACGAGCTGAGCCAATTCCTGTTGGTTTCTCGCTTTCCCCACTCCTGTACAATGGAGGTTGTCTCCTGTTCCAGGTGGAGCAGATGCAAATGCACAGGGGGAGGTGGAAGGGTTGAGGAAAGCCTGGACGGATGAATGAGTGCAGTGTGCAGCCCYTTCCCAAGTATCCCAGCAATTTCTGCCCGGTTTGCCGATGGTGTAGGCRTGAAATCAGGTGGAGGAGCTTTGTTTCACACGGACTCAGCTCTCACTTCTGGACAAGCAGCGAAATGGGGCTTTACACGAGGGAGGGCACGGGCGAGGGTTGGGGTTTGCTCCCCCCCTTGGTGCTGAAATGTGTTCTGCACGCTCTYGTCTGACATTGTGGGATTTCTCGTGGACTTGGCGAGACACTTTGGCACACAGAGCGTGACAGCCCTCACCCAAACCATCCCAGCTGAGCGCTGTGAGCGGCAGCACATCTCCCCCTGTAACCCGCCACTGCTCTGAACGCTACTGTGTATTATTGGATTGCGCCTGCAAAGGTCTTGGCCGTCACAGGAATGAAGTGTGACCATTGGACAGGCTCTGCTGAAGGCTGCCTTATGAGTATTGTCTTTCTAAAAACGTTTCTGGAATATCACGATCGGGCCAGGCCCCAATTCCAAGTCCATGACCTATTGCATGGTTTGTGCATGGGGCTCAGCAGGATTTGTGCAGCCAAATAATTAAGAACCGGATGGCCAGGAAATGGACTGGAGCCAGTCCTCTGCTCTCAGGAGGCCACAGCGTAGGCAGATGCCATCATGGGCACGGGGGGAGGTTGTTTTCTTCTCTTTTAGGTACCGTAGATGCCTGAAAGAAGGGCACTTTCAACAGTAYCTTTCCAGGAGCCAGCTCTGTAACAACTCTGTTATCACCTGCTCCTGTACAAGGTGGTTATACCACACCCATTTAAAGTCAAAATAGAATTAATTTTGAGCAAGGGGCAGTAAAGGAGAATTAGAAATACAGATATATGTTTACAATCTGTGGGTTTTCTATGTCTGTCCAAATAGCATCTCTGCTCTCGTGCTGGTCATGGAGGAATCTCGGGGATGAATCTCTCTCTGGAGCAAGGGAGCTGGAATGTTCCAATGCTATTTCTAAGGAGACAAATGTGGTTTTGTGCCGTGAAACTTCTTTATGGTAGCCTGATTTGAAAAGGATGGGATCCTTTTTTTAGTGTTAGTCAGTTGATGATGCTGAACAAAGATTGCTTCTGCTCGTACTTGGGATTGGGGTCCTTTGGCATGGAGAACATTCCCWCTGTCCACACTCATGGTCTGGAGCATGTGCCACACCACCTCTTTCCACTGAATCAACTCCTTCCACTTTTGTTTTATCTTATCTACTTATTATTGATAAAGGGGTGCTAAAATACGCATTAATCTCTTAGTTACATCATAGTTTCAGATCTCAGTGTGCACAATGATTGGCAGCACTGTACAATCTTTGTACACGGTTCTAGTATCATTAATTGGCCAATTAAGCAAAGTTCTTGCAGTAAATGTCATAATCTGGGAGCTAAGAGCTTTCTGAAATAAATATTTCCTGTAGGATGTTTTTTCTGTCTGCTTCCAACAGACACTATGTGTTGTCATCAACTTTGTGTCCTTGAAGCGTCTTCTAGAAAATGTCATTTTTTGCTGCGCATCTTGATTTCTCCCTCCATGACTGATTCTCTTTTGGGGCCGTGTGTCTGCAGGTCATCAAAGCTGGCGTGGAGACCACCTGCAAATGCCACGGCGTGTCCGGATCCTGCACCGTCCGAACGTGCTGGCGGCAGCTCTCCCCCTTCCACGAGATCGGGAAGCAGCTGAAGCAGAAATACGAGACCTCTCTCAAGGTGGGCAGCACCACCAATGAGGCCACGGGGGAAGGAGACATCTCCCCCCCTAAAAAATCCATCCCCGGCCACAGCGATCAAATCCCAAGGACTACGGACCTCGTCTACATTGACGACTCGCCGAGCTTCTGCCTGATGAGTCGCTACTCGCCCGGCACCTCGGGACGGAAGTGTTACAAGGACAAGAACTGCGACAGCATCTGCTGCGGCCGGGGGCACAACACGCAGAGCCGGGTGGTGACACGCCCGTGCCAGTGCCAGGTGCGGTGGTGCTGCTACGTGGAGTGCAAGCAGTGCACCCAGAGGGAGGAGGTTTACACCTGCAAGGACTGACGCGACCCGTGGTTTCTGCCATGCGGCCACCCCCAGGCACGGGCCAGCTTGGAGAACTGCCTATGGAGACAAACAGGGTTTGATTGACCTTCTGGGATCTGGAAGCTATGTTGAGACATAAGCACTTTGTAGGGTACAGGTGACCCAGCTGTGTTGCTGTTTTGTTTTTTTTGTTTTGTTTTGGGTTTTTTTTTGTTTTGTTTTTTTCCTGTAGACTGAATTTTCATGAGGTCCAACCGTGTGGAAATAAGTGCCTGTCACGCTGGGGTTAGACGCCAGCTGACCTTCACCTTCGTTGTCTACGCAGTCTGATGGATCATTTCTCCTTGGAACGTTGTTTCAGCGATCCTCCATGAACTCCTGGGCTACAATATTCCCGTTGGCATAAATCTCCTGTACTCCTTCATTCCTGGAGCTCGCCCAGCTGCTTGGAGAGCTGAGCAGATACGAAAAACCTTTCTGCTTTGGGAAGCAGATGTTTGTTCCTCCAGAAACTGGAGAGGGATTTGTAGGGAATGATGGGTCCTGAAGGTTCTTCCAGTGGAGTTTCTGCACATGGAGCAAACAAGGCTCTGACAAAGAGACCCACTGGGAGCATCAGCTCTTTAATGACAGCTCCATATCCTGCGTTGTCACCAAGTGCAGCTCAAAAATGTCGGGTCCACCACATTGCAGATGGAAAATAGATCCAAGAACGAGGTTGGGAAGACAGCAGAAAACCAGACGTGCCTGTCCCCTTCAATCCAATCCCACATTCTTTATTTAAAGCAATTCCCCCAAACACAGGTTCTTTAGCACTATTGCTGTCTTAAATCAGACTTTTTTTTTTTAAACCACTAGATACTTTTGTTTCACTTTCACTTCATGCATGATTTATTTTCCGCTCCTCTTCCCACCTCTTGCCGATGGAAGTCGCCCTGTGGTAACTGCTTCAGAAATCCCAACTGGAACTTTCTGAGTCTTATGCCAGCTGAGTTTGGACGTGTTTCTCTTGAGCAGGACAGGAGGAATCCGAGTTCATCGTGGAGCCCAGGGCTGTCTCGCATTGTGGAGCAGCCATTTAGGCCTTGATCAGACCTCTGGAGGAGCTGACTTTTCTTTCCTAGGTCATCATTCCATTTACTCTAAACCATGGCAGTGGTACATGACACAAGCTGTATGTAAACCCTATGACCTTAAGATTTTTTTTTTAACCACTAGATCGAGAACTGTATTTTAAAAACGCATCTGCTAAATCCTGAAAAACKCTTGGATTTGGAATAGCCAATCAGAGACAACCTGAGAGAAGCCAGAAATTTGATTGCAGGGGTTGGTCACTCCAACGCTGTGAAACAATCTCCAGCATTTCCTTTTCCCTTGGAAGAAGCGATTTGCAATCCAGGACTTGATATGCCAATATTCTTCATATAAACGTGGATTTGAAGCAGCCAATGAATGCCTGAACAAAGCTTTCTGAGGAAAAAATGGAGAGCGGGGGGTGTTTTGTTTGATTTTTGGTAGCAATTTTTGATTGTCCAGTAGTAGCAATTTCCACCCGATTTATATCAGCCACTGCTCTGGTGTTCAAAAGGTTTTCAACCAATACTAAAAATTAGMAAAACAAAATTTCCCAAGGTGGACTATTATTTTTTCAAAGTACTTTTTTCCATGTTTTTATTTAATGTTTAAATTTTTTCCCCCCGAAGAGAAGCCACTAATACTTAAGCTGTTCATGTGCATCTGCTGGGAGGAGAAAATATCGATTTTGGATTTTCTTGGTAACAAATACCTGCAGTCCAGTCTGGCACGTTGGCATCAAATCTTGAGGTGGGGGCATGGGGAGGGGCAGGGTGTTACTGTTTAATAGCACCATGGTCCTGCAAAGTGAAGCAAAATGTCTCTTTTTTGGTGTTTCCTTATTTGCTGTACAATTCTGGAGGCTGGGATAATGCTGGAGGAGGAGGAGGGGGAATCCACACGTGGAATTTCCACCTTCCACTCTGGCAAAGTACCAGGAAGGTCTCACAGCTTTTGGGAAAGTCACCCCTGAGCAGTTTTATCTAATGGTTTAAAAAATAAATTGCCTAGAAACCTATTATTCAGTGTGTATATATAGATATATACACACCCCGACGCATAAATATATATATATATATAAATATTGAACATTTATTTATTGTAGAGCCCTTCAGAAGGACCTTCTTATGGTTTCAATGTGGTATTATGTTAAATTCTTTCTCCCTCTGTCTCTCTCTCTCACACATATGTGCAAACTCACTGTTACATTTTTGTGTGTTCTAGAATAGCTCTTCCCCTCCAAAGCAAAGCCAGACCCAAACCTGCTCAAAACAGGATTTTGGGGTCTGAATTACTATTTCTGGCTCCATTCTTTCCTTTT